TTAACGTAAGCACAGGTGTGACCTCTGCCAACTTAGCTGGCTGTGGCACAGAGATTTTTTTTAGGGATAAATTCACACTGGTGGCTCTGGATGGTAAAGTTCCCCAGGCAATAATGACCCCCAAACAACAGGGGAAATACATATGCTCAGGGATGACCTCTGTTTCTTCCCAGTGAACCCAAGAGTCCCCCTGATGCACCCTGCCCCATAGCAAACATAGCTCACATTTTTTACACCAGGACACAGCAATGGACCCAACTTTTCCCTCACCCTGCCTTGTACTAACTGCCATGGGAGACCTGGACTAGTTTGATGAGCTCCTGCTAGCAGCTAAACTAGTGGAGCTGGTTCTGCAGCTCAGCACCCAGAGGCAGGTGATTTTGGGAGTCACAATTGCTACTCCTCAGGCCGCATGTGAGAGCTGAGGTGGAACAGGTGCTAACATGCATGGTTGACAGCTCAGCGGTCACAAGTTCAAGGCCACAGCAGAAGCATTCATGGCCTGGCCTATCAAGTGCCAATGGATCTGCAAATTCTGCTAAATACCTTGTTGCTAGGATATGAAAAAGAAAGGAAGGCTGCATTTGTAACACATCAGAAGAATGAGCACATGGGAATCCTTCCAGATACTAGTAGAGATAATCATCACCTTGTACATGGATGCAAAACAAATCCTCAGAAGTTTCTTTTACCTGAAGCAAGCATCAACCACCACCTTTCCTCCCACATGTCCTACCTGTGCAGGTTATAACAACATCCATCTGACGGATGACTTCATTGAGTTTCACCACCCGGAAGCCGTCCATGCTGGCAAAAGGAAAGGGGCAGAGTGAGAAGAAAAAATGATGCTCTCCGCTTCCCTGGAAAGCTGAAGCCAAGAAGGAACAAAACAGCATTGCAAGGTCTGCTCCGGTTACATAACTGTTGTAGGCTTCCCATCCATGCCCTTTTGGGAAGGCAAGAACATAACCAGAGTACATTATTGCATGGTGAACTCTGTAGAAAGGATCCTTTGTAAAACCCACAGTTACAGATGTCATGGAGCAACTAAAGAAGTCTGTGATGTTCACATCCAGGTTGGAATATCGGAAAGCAATGGATTCTCAAGCCATCCTTCTCACTTGGCCAGCTTGAAAGCACCTAGCAATCATTTTATCTAGACCCTGCTGATTAATCTGAGCCAAGGATACAGGAACTCAAAGGCTACGGAAGTCTACCACAAGATTTACACCCTCCTAGAAGACTAACCCATGGGTTATGAGGCTCTGGGTGGAGAAGGAATCTTCCTGAGCAAGCTACCTTCACTTCAGCCCTTTGATCAAGCTCTAAGGAGGTCTCAGTGACTACCCAGTCTTGCACTTAGGACTGATCTCTTGAGACCAAACCCACATTAAAAGCCCCTTTAGCTCACCCCCAGATGCAATCCTGAGCACCAGAGCCCAAGGTCAAGCTTCCCCTGGTCTGCTCCACCCACGCAGTGTGTTCAGAATCTGCTCAAGCAGTACAGGGCATGGCTGAGGAAAGCTGTCAGCAGTGATCCCACAACTCCCTGTACCCGTCTTCCAGCCCCGTGTACACTGCTGGCTCTCTCAAATGCCTGTAATTAGAGCCAAGCACAAAAGCTGAAACACACAATCAGCCAACTGATTCTCAGAAAAGCTTCATTTGAGGAAGAGGAAGCTTCCTTGTGTACAGCCCTTCTAAGAATCAGTGTGCTCACTATTGTTTCCCTCTGAGTCTGCCCTCCTCCTGTGGTTTTGCAGTGATCTCCCTATGAGGTAATGCAGAGGCACCTCGTGCATCTTGGGCTAAGAAAATGGATTTCAGGTTCAACTTTAAGAAGTGGAGACAAAGCCTAAGAGGCCAGACAAACAGTGAGAGATTCTCACTCAGCAGCATTTAACACTTCACCTCTTACCAGGCTTGGAGAGCACAGATAGGGTCAATCTCAGTGATGTAGACTATGGCTCCTAGGGCCTTCAGAGCTGCACAGCAACCCTTTCCAACCTGCAACACAAACCACAGTGAAAAAGCCTCAAAACACAAGAACTACTAGATGCCCACTGACAGGCCACACACGCATTCGTGTTATAATTATAGGTGTCTGTGCTCTGAGCAAGATTCTAATCAGATACCTGCCAATTGCCAAGAACCAGCTCAAACCCCAGCTCAGGAGCAGAGATATGCTACAACAGCTTTACAACACACTTGCCAATAGGCACTTGCTCTTTAGAACCCAGATCTTCCCCTCATCTAAACGTCTTTCCAAGACCACCTGCTTGGAGTTCCTGCCTTTGGCATAACATCCAGCAGACAGAAGGGTTCCAGAAGGAACACATTAAGCTGTCAAAACAGACATTAAAGCCACAGGGATCCCATCTCACTTTTATTTTGAAAGTAAATACGTTCAGACCGGGATCTGTGTGAACCTCCAAATGTTCTTTCTTAAAAAATAAAATAAAATAAAATAGCAGCGGTGAATTATAACTCTCCAGCACATACATGGGGTGGACAGGCTGACTCCACTCTCCAGCCTCTGGTATCTCATGTTTAATATGGAAAAACAGGCTGATGAGACTACAGATCCCAGCATGCAATGTGGCAGCTTGTTCTGAGCAGACAGGCAAATTACAGGCAAGGTGTGGGCTGTCGCCAGATTGCCAGCATGGTTTCTTGGTTAGGCAAAGTTTGGGCTCCTTTGATGCAAAAACAAACTAACAAGCATATTCCAGGGGAGAAGAGCACCGACGGCTACTGCTAGTGCCCCAACTGTGCTGGACACAGCCTTTAAAATAAACACACACACAGATATCACATGTTCAGGGCAAGGTGTCAGCTGCCTCTTTTGTGGTATCTCTTCTCCAATGACTCAGAAGATGCACAAATCCCCATTCCCCACAACCCCACCCAGCATAATCCAAGGGGTCTGTTAAACAGAGAGCTCCAAAGGACTTGAGAGTCCTCCGTTAACTGACCTCCTTCAGAAAGCAGTGCCAGATGCAATCAGCCTACATTCAGCACTGATAAGTCTCCAGTCTCACTGCTCCTGCCCATGTAGGACCCCATATGGCAATCCAGAGCAGCAACACCTGAGCTGAATGGCAATTCCTAAAGCAAACCTGCTGGCCAGCTGGGAAAGAGATGCTGTAGATAGCATCTCACTAAGTTCTGGCAAAGTTTTACTGCAATAACACACAGTGGAAAGGGTCCATCTTCTCATGCTTTGAAGACTCAACTCCCTCCCAGCTCAGCTATCTAGCCAGTCACATATGGGACACTGTCTAGAGATCCAGCACTTCCTTGTTATGTTTTATTTCTTCATGTTCCCTTATTAGCAAGGACAAGCGGCTACTGCTAATAGGTGGTAAATGAACAGCTTGAAGGGAAGGCACAGGCCTTCCTTCTGCCTCACAGATGCTGAATCCCAGATCTGCTGCCACACACACATCCATCTAACTTACCTCACCATAGCCGCACACCACCACCTGCTTCCCTCCAAACATCACATCCGTGGTCCTCTTTAAGCTACAGGATAGAAAAGAAACCTGTGTTGGGATCAGAGTCACAAAGTGTTCTGGACAGAGCTGCCTGCACAGGACAATGCTCCAACACGACAGATCACGTGCCCAGAAACTGCAACATTCAGTGACGACAAAGTACACACAGATCTATTAGTAAAAGCTAGAGGAGGTGTGCAATATCCACAGCATTAAGGATCCATCTCTCAACAGCCATATGTCCCACGAACAAGATCCACAGTGTCCTAAGAGGTCAGGCTCACCCATCCAAGATGGATTCTCGGCAACAGTACAGGTTATCAAATTTCTGTTTGGTGACTGAATCGTTGACATTCATGGCTGGGACACACAACTTCCCAGCCTTGGAGAGCTGGTACAACCTGCAGGGAAAGAAAAGAGGTCTCAGCCACCATCTCCTTTGGACAAACTAAAGAGAGATCTGCAGGCAACAAAGCAAACATGGTTAAAAAAGCCAACAAATAAGACAGGACCACCAGACCCCCTGGCTGAGCACCAGTGAGTCTAGGGGAATCTGAATGGACCGTCCTTACATACCAAAACAAAGCATACTGATGGGCAGTCTCTTCTGGACTCCATGCAAGAGACAATGGGAAACCAACAGCAGAAGCTGACTGCCCTAAAGAGGCTAGAGCTACAGCAGCTCCTGGATTCATTACCTGTGCACGCCGGTCACGCTCTCCTCTACGATACCTCTGATCTTCTTGAACACGTTGGGGTACTTCTTATAAACCCAATGGGTCAGATCTCCACCATCATCCAGGATCTAGAGAACACAAAGAGAAGAAAAGGGGGGTAGGGGGAGGGGGGAAAGCAGTCAGTCTCCTTTCCACTGCCAGAAAACTTGGTCACAGCCAATTGCAATAATCTTCCATTAAAAAGGAAGTGATCAGAGGGATTCTTCCACTGTTTGGCTTCTTACTCACATGGGAGCAGTTTGTACTTGCATAGGGACTTCTAGATTCTAAGCCTAGCTGTCCATTATACGATGGTTCATAGAATCATAGAGGTCGGGCTGGAAGGGATCTCCAGAGGTTATCTAGTCCAACCTCCTGCCTGAGACAGGATCATCCCTATCCAATCCATAATCTAAACTCTTTGTAAAATTACCGCCCACCCTGATGCATCACAAGTCATAACACCTAACCTACCACAGGTAAAGCAAGGAAATCATGGCAGCCAATGTCCTGCTTCTATAAAAGATTGTTATACACACAAGAGATCCCAGGTAAAAGGCTGCGCCCCCTCCCCACAGAGGAAGGTAAAAACCCTACAGTCCATACCAATCTAACCATGGGGTAAAATTTCTTCTTGACCCCAAATCTGGTGATCAGTCTGAACCTGAGCAGAGAAGCAAGACCCTCTAAGGCAAGAACCTCCAGCTATAAATCCCAGTAGGAGCACTGACACACCTCAGACAAAATCCCCAGCCTTAGCTGCAGCCGACACCCAATGCCTCTGAGGAAGGCTTAAAAACACCCTTGACACGTAGCAGGAAGTGCGGGAAGGGGACAACCAATAAAGCCCAGAAGCATAGGAATTACCCATAGTAGAACATGGGCATAGCTATGCCTAGATCATTCTAGACCAGTGGTTGTCCAACCTCTTGAACACCTCCAGTGATGGAGAGTCCACACTTCCCTAGGCAGACTGGTGAGGTATCCAACTTGTGACTCACTTTCCCCTTCGGTAAAACAGGGATGATACTTCTTCTACTTTATGGTGATGACAAGGGGGGCTGTTTGTCTACTGCTTCAAATTTTCTGCCAGAGAAACACTACTAAAAGTGCCAGCATCCAACTGCTGCTGACAGTCAAGAAGCCTGTGCCAAGATCAGAAGGAAAAACAACCCAGAGGTAATGAGGGTTGGCTTAGACGCAGTTTTGGTCAGAAACAGAACTAGTGGTGAAGGAGTTCTCTACTAAAGCCAATCTAGGTGCGAGAGGCTGGTGTCCCAGAGAGACTAGCTGTCTTGTCTCAGAGACTAAACACAGCACAAGAACTACACAACTCACAATTGCCATTCAGCTCCAATCAGAGCAGAGGGACAACCTCCACAAAAAGTCTTGTTGTACAATTGCGAAGAGCCACAGTGTAACCCAAGAGGTTTTCCATTTACTAACAATTCTAGGAGACCCAAGTGGCACTAGGAATAGAAAAAAGAACTGCTGCACATGGGAGGAGAGGCATGGAAATGGCTCCATTACCATGTTGGGCTGCCAGCCATCCATATTAACACAACGGTCAATACACCACCAGAAGTCATCCTCCGACTCTCCCTTCCAGGAAAACACAGCAACACCTAGGGAGGAAGAAAAACCCAGCTACTGCTCTGATCAGAGGGACCTGAAGGCCAACAGCAGACTCCCAGCAGGAACTGAGGCCTGGACTTAATACAGATCCACAACTGTTCCCCAATCCCTTCGGGCCCACCATGGCAATCACCCGCTGCTGAACTAGAGCTTTGTTTCCAGGAGCCTGTGCTTCAGGCTTGGAATGGGTCTCCTCTGGGCTATCAGGATGGTTCCCTACATGCCATAATAGTTATGATCAGCCCCTCTCCAACTCCTGCTACAGTGTGGTCTTGAATGCCACAGGCACCTCTCCTAGAACTGAGCATAGGGATGTGGTGGATACAGACTCTATGAGTAGTTTGGTGGATGCTGACTCTGCAGAGGGGTTTGAAGTCCTTCTAAAGGCGCTGCATGACTGTAGCAAGAAGTTGCCACAGCTGTCTTCAGCTGCCTTGCTAGCTCTCCCCTGCTGTGGAGTATTCAGGAGCTAAGTTACTGAAGCTCATAGTTCATTTAAAGGTAATCAGGTATCACTGATGCTGGCCTGGAGGGACTGACACTTCCTGAAACGTTCCTGCAGAAGTGGCTGGGAAGCAGCAGATGGGCATGGGTGAGAACGGTGTGTTCAGACTCCCTAGGAGGCCGCCTGTTGTTTACCATCTCCCCACTCCTCCTGCTGGGTTTCTGGGGGGCTACATGTTACTCACCAGCCTCAGCCAAGGCGGCAGCCACCTCATTCTGAGTGGAGTAGATGTTACAAGCAGACCAGCGGCACTGAGCTCCCAGTGCACACAGTGTCTCAATTAACACCTAAGGACAGAGAAAAGGCAGTCAGCCAGGAGGAAGCAGTAATGGCAATCTGAGTGCAGGGATTTCCAGCGCAGAAAGGTAACTCACAGTGACTCAGTCATAGGCAAATCTGCAATGGACACACCCACTGACGTGAATCTGGGAGCAGTCACACCGGGAAGAACACATGCAGAAAACCAAGCTAGGAGATGCAAGAATGAATGGGGATAATCTGATGGGGAGTAATTATGTATGGAGGCACATCCTCTTATTCCCCACTGCTGAGAAAGTTCCTGAGGTGACTGCAAATAATGGCGAGAAGGAAAAGTCTCTTCCCCTGCCCCACAGAGCCCTGAGTCAGGGAGTACTCACCGCAGTCTGTGCTGTAATGTGTGTACAGCCCACTATTTTAGCTCCTGCCAAAGGCTTCTCCCCCTGGGCCCGTTTCCTGAGTGAAATCAGAGCAGACATGTCTGTGAAAGGAACAGAGGGATTTTAACAATGTCTGTGTGCCACCCACCTGGTGGTATGCCCCACAAAGGTCTCCTTGCCAGGGGACAGTCAGCCAGCTCCTTGCTCCGCTGCATTTGCACTGCACCAACTCCCTGCACAGCATACACCCGGGAATGGCATTTCAAAGCAAAGAGTTCACTGTGGAGTGTGCCCTGCAGAGACCCTGCTAGATCGGCTCCATCCTCCATGGCCTGGTTAGCGTGTGGGTGGAATCTGAAGGCAGAGTCCTTTACCAGCCAATCCCCAACAAATCTCAATTTAAAATGAATGCCACAGATTTTATAAGCTCTAAATAAAAGGGAGTTGCCGGGGCCACGCTCCAAATACTGTTCTAAAAGCTTCAAGTACCGAACATTCGTAGGGAAGTCTGTTAAAACATTAAGGGCTTCATAGTAGCCGTGGCCAGATCCCTAAAGCCACGCACCTTGCACCATTACCATACTGTCTGCTGGAGTTTGGTCCTTCCTGATTCCTGAAAAGGATTTCCAAGGTATTTGCTGACCAGAAAGTGACCTTGTTAGGTTTATGGTACCACAAGGGAACACACTCCACCCAGGAGGCCTGGATGACTCAGCAGACCCTTCCTTCCTTTACCTTGCTCAGCAATCTCAATCTCCCGGCGTCCAAACTCCGCTTGCTTGATGTTCTTCACGCAGAAGTTGCTGCTGCCCTTGGAGTTGGTCTGATGCTTCTCCCGTGGGGTGCCTTCTTCATCATCAGAGCTGTCTGTGTAAGATGCAGCTAAATGAGAAATAGCAGGCAAAAGGCATGAGGGCCTCAAAGGACCAACAGATCAATTGCCTCTTTGCAGCTGTATTTCTAGTCTGTTTTACTTTCCACCCGGCATGGGGCTGGACAGTTTACAGTGAAAATGGTGCAAGGGAAAGCCAATATCCAGAGATATTGTTAAACTCGAGTTAACAAGTTAGCAATTAAAAAACAAGTCAACAGATACCTTTACAAAATTCAAATAAATGCCAGCATGGCCAAGGCAGTTTAGGTTTCATCACATCATAAATCCCTCTGGAAGTAAAGGCTTTTAGCTAGAAATTTCACATATATCTGCAGTTGGTCATAGTAACGTTGGAGGGGGTATTTAAGTATACCCCGAGGAATTATGCAATTATGTGCCTGTGCAATTTTGCACATAAAATGTATGACCACGCATAATTCTGCATACTTTAACCCGGGCAGGCTTTACACCTCCACCTCCGCAGGGCTCCCGGCACTCCAGCCAGGAGCCCCATGTGGAGGCACTGAGTACGTGGTGCACAACTGGACAGCTGGTGAGTGGGGAGGGGAGCTCCTGCCTGCAGGAGGTGGGGATGGGCATGGGTTTTGTGGGTGGGGTGTGTGG